AAACTTTCCAAAAGCAGCCTAAAGGTTTTTGACTTTCTAGCAGATACCATATCATTCAGTTAAGTATCCGTTTTTCAATTTTATTAGCGTCCTGTTCGTGCTTTTACGGAGTATGAAGTTGCTGTTTATGGATAATATTATCATACGAGTACTTCGACTGATGACAGCAAGGAAAGAGTACGGCAATTGTGGGAAGTAAGCAACAAAGAGTAACCAGTATAAGTTTTACTCAAAGCGGAATTTATTCGCCCATAACTTCCCAACCAGACGTTTCAAACCTTCCCCGTCGTTTTGTTGCGCGCACAAACGGTTTTCACACCAGCGTATACAAATTATTTGGCTACGGAATGCAACAAAACGATGCAGAAAAGTCTGTGGGAGTGCGCGAAAGTGGAAGCTTTCGTGTATGTATCCAGATTTGGCATCGTGTACCGGGCCACTTCTCTTAACATTTTGGCGCCGCTAAAGGATGACCTTTGTCGGATAACGACAACTATCAAAAGAAGGGTTAGACGCATGCTACCAGACGGGAGGCATAAACACAATGTACCGGTAACGAAAGCGGTGGAATGAAACGTGGTTTTCGTGGCGAAACTGAATTCCGTAAATCGCAGATGTGTTTTTTATGCTCATGGTTAGGCGACCTCGGCAAATGCATTGTGCATTGTACAATCTGTACAAAAATAGCAGGAAATGAAAGCGATTGTTGTGTACTCACTTTTGGACAGAAAACGTTTCATAATTAATGAAATACTCCTCCAGAACCGGACATGTCTAGACGTAATCTTCGTTGCGATGTCTCGGGAATTACTTGTGGGTACCCTAATAAAAAACAGATTTATATTTACTGCACTCTGTGATTCAGTTATACGGACAAAATCCAAATCGGCTTAAGTAAAAAACCTCGATACACGTAAATTGCACATGGGTAATTTACACTTTGACACGTACAAGCGTTGGGCTGTCAGTAAACAGAACGCCTTTTACATGTGGAGCTTACAACGAAATCGATCGTTTTTCTTTGTTCCTTTTTTGTTGTACATACATACTATCATTGATGACGCCATCAACAACAATCAGAAAGCCTCCGGTAGCGCGTTGAGTCCTCTGGTATTATAATGACGTCTTAAGGAGAATTTGTACTATGGTAGCAAGACTGAAAATGAGATTTTCGAAATTCTTCAGTGTAATAAGAATAGTTACATCTATTACTGGGCGAAAGTTGAGTAGATTCAGGCAGCAACGAAAAAACTTATTTAAGTTTTGTCGTTGCCGACCAGGAGCGATTTGACGGGCTAGCGTATCTTCCTACAGTACTGCCACCTGTGATCAAAATTAGTGAAAGAAAGATTGCACCGAGATGTGCTTTCGTTCCATCTGGAATATGCCTTGTGGCTCTTATATTCCATGCCAGATTGCAAGTGTAATAGACCCAGACAAGGCTCATGTTTACACAGTGAGGACGAATACAGCATAACAAAGACGCTAGAATGGAACACGTAGCGCTATCCCGTGAGTGCACATGAAAGAGTGGCCAAAGTCCACTCTTCGCTGTGCACACACTCAGTGTGGCGGCACTGCAAGCGCAGAATCGGTAAGACCAAAGGAAAGCGCAGAACAAAAGAAGGTTTTTCGTCACTTTCTGAAAATTTTTCCAAAATCGACTTCTAAATTCAATGACAGTTTTAATAGATGTCAGAAAATTCTGACATTTGATCAGATTCAAGCAAAATCATTTTCAAGAAGAATTGTGGAGCGTTTTTGTGAAAAATGATTGCGGATTCTGTAAAAAATAATGGAAAGTAACTTTGAGGTAAAAAAAGTTTGTTTTTCCAAGAATGGTTGAGTTTTTTGGAAAAACGCTCCACAGAACTTAGCGGAACACATCGCTACGCTTGAAAGAAAAATTTCAAAAATCTGCTTGAATTGTTATTGCTTCCGGAAAATAACGGCTTTTGATCAGTGACTTTTACATTTTAAAATTGTCTAACCAATTTCAGACTTTCAATGTATGTAGCGAAAATATCATAGTGTTAGGTCAGATGATTAGTTATGATGCAGCACAAGCGCACGGATTGCGCCAGCGAGAATAGTCAAAAGAGGTCGAAATCGGTATAATCTCTTCTTAATGTCCTGTAGAAGCTGCTCTGTATCTGTATAAGATACTTGTAGCAGGTTTCGCAACGATGAAGATTGAAGTGTATAATCTGTGCAAGAGGTTTCTCTTTAAATCTGTAACAGAACTCCTTACACCAACTCCTGTACTTGTTGCCGGTTGGAGTATGTGTCGTCGCGGCAATGCATTCGGCGCCGAATCCGAAGCGGCACATACGCATCTGGTTCAACTACGACGGATAACTTAGAAACAGGAAGCGTAAGCTGTTAAATGAAAGTGCAAATAGTGCAGATCTCAGAAGCCTTTCGTGCAGAAGCCCTCCGTATTCTTGGTCCCGCATGGTCGGGGGCCCTGTATTTACGTCTACGAACTCCAAATCCTAACTGTGTATGATCATGGTTTGAGAATTCAGGTTTCACCGCTCAAATTACGGCAGCAGGGATTATCCAGAAACACAAATCTCATAAAACTGTAAACTCTGTAGTTTACTGGGATAAAGTGTGAAATAACGGACCGCCATGTAGCTACTAGCTACTGCATGTACAGATCTGTATAAGGAAGCAAATACAATACATATGGACACGTTTAGAGAAAACATGCAAAATACATGGAAACTTCGTACATTACAAGGTATGTCTGGCAATACATCATTTATTTTACTATCGCAACATGCCTATCAGCGCAAATGTTTCGGAATAAAGTCTTAGAAAATTCGAGCAAGTTGCAACGGTAGCAGTACCCCTTCTAACGAGACACTATGGGACGTTTGTTGCTGGTGTAGTCCAGTAATAAAAACACCGCGAACAGGCCTAGATATTAAACCCGCACAGCAGCATGTGGAATGGTCCGAGTGTTGCGTAAATATCTCCTGGTTGTCCAAACAGGTGGAGCTAGCTGAACTGCACCATGGGATCCGCTCGACAGTTTCCGGAGAGCAAAAATAACCGGCGCAATAAAGGAGAACACGATGGCGAAACAGTATACAAGTGCAAGTGGGCCGAAGATACCTTTGTAATACCCTACGACCCATATATGCCAAATAAGCGTGGTTCTCTTGTAATGTAAGCACATCTGTACATGTATATTACAGACAGCATTGCTTATGATTTATTCCGAGAAAATCCTTTTAGGGAAGAGCAGTTACCGGTGCTGGCGAAAATGATTAGTCCGAAACCAATTAGGAGCTGCAGGGTAACAAATATCCGGATTAGGCGTCGACGCGGACTAAGCCAGACAGCATCATCAGTCTTAACAGGAATTCCAGCGTACGGTGCCATTTTCCGTAAAGCGTAAAACCGCGTCGTTTTTTAGTTACGTATTTTAGGGGTATTTTTGCTTTGGCTGTTCATAAACACAGAATACGGGCTTCTCCCGGATAGACCGAACAGTTGTCATTTAGCTTGATGCGAACGATCACGAAGAGCTCACTAAAGCGTGTTAATAGATGGTAATAAAGGGCCCTTTTGCAATATCTACCGACTACAGAAGTGTATACGATTACGGATTGGTTTGAAGTGCTAAACTGTAAGCACCAACCTCGCGCCCGATGAAAAGATAAGCAGCCTAGATATCGCGGTAAAGATGTTTACATTGTTGACACCCCGCATGCGCACTTAAGATAGTTAAGTCAAAGCAGGTTTAAAAGTTTACTGCATGCAGAAGGAGTACTCTGCACTTCGATTACGTATTTTGACTACGAGTATCCTTGTACTGTAAGAAAAAAAGAAAGTACTGTAAATCACACAGCCGCGCACGCGAGAGTTATTAATTGCACCCAAAAACCGGATTTGTGGCGGCAGTCTTCAATCCCTGACTCACTGCTACAAGTATAAACGTGTACATACGTGCATACGTGCTTGTCGGCTGTGCGGTTGCCGGCAATTAAGGGCAGTCGACCGCCTCAACCGTGTACGCCTGACAGCAAAACGCCATTCCGTGCTATAAAATTGGTCGCCTCGTCGTATCTTTCTCCATTGACTCTTGTGTTAAACTCAAACACTTGCACCTCCTTCATTTCTCCACAGAATTACCTAACCGAAATTTTAAAAGATAGCGAAAAAATAAAGAAGATTTTTGAAACCAAATAAGGTGCTGTTAAAAGCGAGTATGACAACATAGAGCCATTAGGGATTTCTCGTAGGCTACGGGTAAGCATTGAATGCATGGTCAGGGTTGTGCAATACGCAGAGATCCTATACCATGTCTACGAGAATTCGAAATGGGAACATCTTGGCCTAGTAGCCATCAGTGGTACCTTGTTTGGTATCGAAAAACTTCTTAATTTTGTCTTTACCTATGAAGATATCGGTTGCATGGTTTCATTTAGAAATCTGTAAAACACAAGTCGAAGAGCTTAACGTACTCGTATAAGTCTATGGGATAAAACACTGTAAGGCGGCCAATTTCACAGCATTGTCACGCTGTTTTGCCCAGGGAGGCGTACACGGTTGAGGCAATCGACTGCCAGTCTGCCATTAACTGTATTATGTGGTCGGAATAGTCAAAAATTAACAATCGAAGTACCCTAGGTCAGGGTAACTATAATTATTATAATACATATGAAAAAGACACGTTACAGTACTTCCCTGTAAAGACTCTCCATATACAATACGGTTGCATGCACCAAACGGTTTCGATTCTCCAGGAAACAGTTTCAACAAACGAAAACGGGAAAACCTGAGATGAGTAAATGCATGCTGACTGTCTCACTGTGAATAAAATTGCCGAAAGTGCCACATAATGTTTTTGACTTCACACGTCATGTCGTTCAGTTATATCAATTTTTTATTTTGTATTCTTTTAACAGGTGTTCTGCTTATAGTTTACAAAGTACTAAATTAGCGACCCTTAATGGCCATTCTAATAGACTGTACATGTCGCGCTGTTTTAATCATGGTCTGTCGCACTGTTTAACATGAGGGAAAGGATAACGATAACATAAAGCGTTCTGCCCATAGTTTGTGACATTACTACTTAGGTCATTCGAGTATGTACAACTATAATGTAAACACCTACTCAGTACTCTGTACGGTAGAAACAAGTAGTGATAATCAGAAATCAGAAGAAACAGGTAGCAGCAATCTGGATTGATAAGTTTGACTAATCAGGACGTTATCTCCGGGCTCTCAGCAGAAAAGAAAACCTAAGGAAAATCAAACGATTACGAGTGTGCGGAATCAAACTTTTTTAACAGATGTATCCGTGGGTGTAAGCGGCGGTTGTTGGAGAAAAATCCTTTTGGCACCTTCCCAGCATTCCTTATTAAGAGCAAAGAACATCACCTGTAAGAAAACGCATAATAAAAGAATCAGCAATCAACTTTTTGTGTATAATACAAAAGCTGTTGCGTTCTCGAGAATCCACCTACGCACCGGTGTCGATAGATAGCCGAGGCAGAAGAACTGCCGCACCCATAACTGCGTCATCGGATCGCTTTTGTACGCTGCCATAAAGAATGACTGCAATAAGGGAATGCTGGCAAAGCACAGCGTGTGTATTACTGTCATCGCGAATAAAAGTCGCGCTAAGCGGATACGTCGCCGGAAATTCTGTACCAACTCCGCGGATAAGCTGCCCGACGAATTCCAGATCTGGCGTTTCCGGTTAATCGCCACCGCTTTAAGGAACAACAGAATATACATGAGCCCGGCCAAACCCAGCGGAAGATATGTACTAAAGGTATTAGCGATGGCGAAGCTGACACCTCGTTGCAGAAAAGTGCAGATGCCGAACGGCGCCATCGGACCAAACCCACCGTCACCGCCCAAATAAAAATACAGATAATCAAAGAAGCCAATAAACCACGGAGTTATTATCAGCACCACATTAATGGACAGGCGATCCCAGTGGGAAAAATTGTAGGGACTAGCGATGGCCAGCAAACGGTGGCAGGCCAGAATAAGAAGTCCCCATAAACCGGCAGTCATTGTCGTCATATAAGCAATCAAATAGTGGCGGCAGAATGTCGTTGAAAAATAGTAATCATTCTGCGATACGGCATATGCGATGATATGCACCGGCCAGTGAATTACGGTCATCTGAAGTTCGACAACAAGCTGGTGGAGGATCAACATTTTGGCGCCAGAGAACAGTGACTTTTGTCGGATAATAACGACCATCAAAAGTATCGTCAGGCTGCATGTTACCAAGCATAAACACGAGGAAACGGTAATAAAAACGATGGAACGGAGTACGGTTTCGTGATGGAGCTGAATCCCGTGGCTGGAAGATGCGTTTGTGAAGTTCATTCTTTAATTCTGCAGCCAGGCGCGAAATATCATAATGCATACGCTGGTATGGGGAGAAATCCAAACTGCAGTCTGAAGTGATGTAAAGAAATTCGCGCAATGCCAGGTATTAGCCAGGATTCAGGCGCCCTCGCTGAACGAAACAATCAATTAACCATACGAGGAGGTACCCAGTCACGTTTCCGGTGCATTAATTCCCCCGATGAATATCCGTGGAGCTACCTATCACGTCGCTAGCCGATTCATTTATGCAGCGATAACCCCCGCTGTAACAGAATCCAGGAGAACTGATTTTCGATGCACTCGCATAAATCCCTAGAGCAGATTAGATGGCTTATACTCGTACTTATTACATACGAAGCTGAGATAATAACGCTGGCTGTTATTTACGTAGCTGTTGCTAGTTCTACTCGTAGTAGTTGTTATTACTTGTTAACAACTGCGAAACGGCTTACAACCTTGGAGACATCTTCCTTCCATTTAAAAAGCTGTAATATAATAATATCTTGATTATTTGAATTTATTTCATTGCGAAAACAACGGCTGAAATACACAGAATACCAAAAACAAATGAGACAATAGCTGCAAAAGTGTTACAATGTTAAACCAGCGCATAACAAATGAAATGGAAAATTTACCAAGAAGAAGACACAAGGTTTGCGTGTGGCAGATACAGTATTATGGGCTGTTGCCTGCTGGTATTGTGGCGGAAGGCGCCCTTCCCCCAAGGGTATTCTCGTAGTCCGCCATCAGATAAAGACGCAAAGAATTAGGGCTGCAGATGCCCATGTGTGACGCCGATCAAGCATAAACATTACCGGGAGATATGGTCTAGAACTGCGCGAACATTCGATGCTGAGTTCGGTCATATTGTTGCTTACACGCCGCCGGATGTGCTTTTGCACTGCAGGACGTGCACTCGAGCCAAAGTTCCTGTAAATATTTAATACTAGAAAAATGCACGTTAGCGTGCATTGGCAGACCGGAGCCTGACTTAAGGGAAATGACCAAGGAAATGGTACCAAATTGGTGTACATACACGAAAAACTTCCGCTTTCGCGCACTCCCAAACACATTTAAATTTCAGAATATAGGGGGCAAAACCAAACGTGATCCACCGTTCCGGCTACTGCTGATGTCAGCCAGCTGGTGGTTTACATTTTGGCTAAAAAGCATTTTATGTATTGCGCTGCTCTTGGTTGTGGGATAATACATCAGTCAAATTGCAATAAACCTGCGGGTACCTACGCGGGCAGACACAATGATTTTAAATTTATTAACATTGAAACGACAGCTAAAAATCGTTCGTACGTTAGTGTTTGTAAAGTTTTAAGAGACGCGTAAATCTTCAAACTTGACTCACTGTAATTATTAGAACCGTTTTCTTCTCAACGTAATACAACATGACAGCGTTTATTTTTTGGAGAATGATGCCAAAAAAAGAGCCTGCATGTACTAGTATTTTGCAACTTAACTGAACGAGGTGCTGACTTTGACCATTGTGATAAAATCGCTGCATTTCATATTATTTGTTTGCTGTCAGATGGTGAGTTGTAATTAGCCACGCTAACTTGGAAACCCGCCCATGGCTAAAACTTGCAATACAAAAGTAATTCATGGACCCTAACACTGCTTCAGATACGGATAGACCGATTGAAATCAAACATTTTCGGGTCCAGCAAGAGCGGTTTAGACCCCTCGATAGTGAGTAATACGGTGCTCTTAATTTAATCTAAGAGCAACATTTCAAACGGCGAGCTGGTCCAAAAGAACATATCCACTCTGCTGTCACGATAGAAATTGCGGTATTACTTACTAAGTTTGTACTTGTATTACGATACTTATTAAAGGTTCATAAAAATAATTACGGTAAAAGCGCTATCTGTAAAACTTGCAAAAGCAGTCTCTTTGAAACAGAAGCATGGGCCACGTATACTCAACGGCTTTCTTGACGCTGTGTTTCGCAGCAGCATCCATTGCTGATGTCGCCAAAATGCAGCCACACCCACAATGCAAATCTCTGCCTAGCAGTGGCCTCTATTTCGAACTGCACTGCACCAAAGCGAATCTAATCATTCCCACCAACTTCAATATCAGCGCCCTGACTACACCCACCGCCTCCCGGTAATTGACATTATTCTGGACTGTCCAACCAGCAAAGCGCGTACCTACTGCAATGTCATTCAGAAGGATGCAGCGCCATTTCCACCTATCAACTCTCTAATTGCCATCCACTTGATTGGCTTTAAAGGATCTGAAGGGCCGCGTCTGCCGATCGGACCTTTGCTGGCCAACGTCAAACACGCTCTGACCAAGTTGGTAGTGCAGTATTCGCGAGTTGGCCAACTGGATGCGGAGTTCTTCGCCGGATTTGACAAGCTCAACTCGTTGGGCCTGCGAAATAACGATATCGCCAGTATTGCAGCAGACACCTTTGAACCGCTGTCAGCCAACAGCCTGGTATATGTGAATTTAGGCGGGAATGCGTTAAGCAGTTTCGACTTTGGAGTCTTGAAGCCGGTTGCCAGCAAATTGGTACCTACTGGGACGGTACATATATCATTGGCGGTATATATACTGTATATCATTGGCATAACTGTTAATTTTGTTTACTGCAAAAGTAAACTATGAAACTCTTATAGAGTAGTACAGCTTCCTTTCGGGGCGATACGAATTTAAGGCTGTTGGTTTTGAAACATTCGGCAGTTTTGGTACATCTGCCAAAGGATTTGTTAACGAGATTGGGAAGAGAATTTTGCTACAAACCGGCGAGATTCGTAGTCTGGAGATTTTGAAACAGAACATCTCTTTAGCAATTCAACGTGGTAATGCTGCTTCAGTAATGGGGACCGTCGAGAATGTTGTTTCGTTTGACCGTAATTAGATCTTGATATTGTTATCACGCTATTGAAGAAAATAATTACTGAAAACTATGAAACTCAAATAAAACAGTAGGTTTTTTACTTTGTAAACGATTCGGTTTTTATTGACGTTTTATATGGGTTTTGTCCACATGCGCAAGCTTTGTACGTACAGCGTGCGTGAGCTAAAACGAATTTTGAATTAAAGCACTCGTTTGCATGTTTTTCCAGTGTATAAACTGAACCACTGTTTTAACTACTGTGTTCTTTAAAATTACTTGTACCAGTGCCGTAAGTACAAAACTGGAAAGCAAAACGAGTGTCAGCTGCATTATAACCGATGCAGCGGTGTTACTTGTAGGTAAAGACTAGTAAAAGTAATAATTAATATAGAATAATGGGTAATGATGAATTAACAGCATTCAAAAGAGTGTTTGCCGACACATGCTCATTTCAATAAAGCGGTCTTCTGATAAACCGTCAAAAACCTCCCTTGCAATCCCTCCAGCGCACTACGCCATCATTCCCCTTGAAACTGAGCATGTTGGCCCTTGCCGACGGTCGCCTACCATACGTTCCAAAGGACGTTCTGGAGGTGCTGGTCGTCGATAAGAATAAACCAATGAGGTTGCTCATGAATCACAATCCCGTCTGCGCCGAGCACGACACCTGTACTTGCTGCGACCTGAAGGAGTTGGCCCACTGGTTTGCTAACGCCAGTCAGCACACCGACAAAGTCGAGGTGCACATGCATTGTGGCAAAGGATGGAGTACTAGTGAACTGCTTCGATACCGTCCTCGGGATCGCCCGCTATTGCCCAGCACGTTTCAAGCGTGCCAGTGAAGTCGCAAAAATTGCTTTCAAGATTCAACTCAGCCTTAAGTTCCAAGGTGTTTTAATGACCTCAGCATTTGGGCACAATAATTTGGTACCGTACAACGAAGTTTCTCGACTAATGCTTATTTAATGTTGTAGTGAGTTGTATTGTATTGGGGATTATCGCAGCGCGGAAAAGAAAATTACCTTCCTGTTTTTTATCTAAGATACTTTTAATTAAGAATATCTTTAATTAGCAACTACTTAGCAAAAGAGATAGCGGAAATAGATTAAAAGGAGGTGAAGGTTGAAATTTTGATGGGTATTGCATAAGAATTACTGTAGCCCGTGCACAACTTGAACCACAGAGTTTGTGCACGGGAAACCAGCATACGGGCGGCGCGTGTAGTGCTCGGGCAATGCATAGGCAAGCAAATGCTGTCCATGCGCTCATTTCCCCGTATACAAACTCTGTGGTTCAAGTTGGGCGAGCGGCTACAGTATACGTACAAATCATCGCCCATGCCACTTCACAGTCAGTGGTTGAAACTGTTAAACTCAAACGCTAAAACACGCCGGGATGATCATACGTTTTTTTACAGTCTGCTAATTGCAAGTTGCAGTGCACTTTTTCAGACCAAAGATTTTTTCCGGAATAGCTAAAAAAAATCCATTTGCACCACATTCTCGTAGCGGTGATCGTGTTCTTCAAATGATAGTCTGCTCTCCTTGACGGATCGGTTTAATTGCACTTGAAAAGAGCTTTTTCCCAACTCTAGTATCATCGGGGAGTTAAACGTGCCACCACCGTAAAAACGCTGCCTTTACGCCGCTAACCAGCTTCCCAATCACATTCAATCGCAAACAATGCCCGTTCAAATTACCGTCAAACCCGGCACTAAATGCCGATGCTCCGCGGCCATCGATTGGCAGCGTGTGTATGTGTGTCGGTTGCGGCAATTACCGCATTCTTGTTTCCCTCCCCACCCCATCAATTAGACACTGCACGACAACGCCCGGATAATTCCCCTTATATCTCTCCATAATCCGCTGACCAGTCACTTGGCACCATCTCGTCAATGGAAACATGTTGGCCCACACATTTCTGCACCCTAAAACCCCGATATAAACATTTACGTTCGCACCGGCTGCCGTTGCTGATGGCGGCGTTCACTCGTCAGCTGTGTGCCACTGCAACACATACACATCTGGCTGTCCACGCCTTCCACCACGCTCAACATCCTCCATTAACACGGCAGCCCGCTCTCGGTCCCGGCTTAAGAAAGAAAGGCATTAATATTTTACGCACATCACGCATACGCTACGGGCTAAAGAAGAGTTTACAACTCGGGCTGTAACCGTTTTCCAAACGGACGCTCTGTTCTTAAAATCGCAGTCGAAGGCAAAGTGGGCCCGGAAACGGCGCCTGCGTGCGGGCAGTATACGTTCGTGTGTGTGACAGCCAGTTCAAAAGGCGGATCAGTATTATGTGTAGTGTGTCGAGTTAGCATGACAAATTGCCCGCCACTGCAGCGAGATTAATTATCCTTTCCCAGATTGCCGATAAAAGTGAGAGCGTGCGCGCAATTTCTTCTAACACGTTATAGCATCGCGCGTTTGCCGGGCTGGCTACTTATCGCTCGTATTTACATACAATGCCGGTATTATCCAACAGCAACATAATACCCTTATCGATTGCCTGTATTGTACGCTACGGCAATCGATGATAATTTCTCCAATGTTGTGTGGACATAATCTTTCACTGCGTTTTCGTCCGCTCGCGATCTGTTGATTTATGTAGTATTTTTTTTCCTGGACGGGAAAATGTTCAATGTGTTGATTGCGTTGTTGAGCGTTAGCGCGGCGTCAGGATGGACCGCCCGGCGGCTAGCGCCGTTGCCGGCCCCGGCCGTCGTCCGTCCGCCGCAGACCTACTCCACCGCCACCCACAGGATGATGGATGTGCGGACCACGCGCGATGTGGAATGGGCGGCCACGCTCAACGCCCACAATGCGTCGCTGCTGCAGTATAATTATGCCGTCTTCTTCGACGCCGGTTCCAGCGGGACGCGCATGTATATTTACCACTGGAACGAGGTGATGAACAATACCGGCCTGGTCACCCCGCAGAACGATGCGCGGAACTGCAGCAGTAAGGGTTGTAATTATAGAAACGTCAGTTTGCTGGAGCGTCATAATCGCTCAATGTTTTATGGGTTTTTCGCTCGGTCGTAAACATATAATATCGGTCATTTCCCGTCCTTGCGCACTAGTAACAACTGACGATCAATTTTTCCTTTATTTTTTCAGTTGAGCGTAAATTTTTATATTCTGTTCAACTATACGAAGTATTGATTTTCAATAAAATGTTCGATGAATATATCCGTTGAACATTTGTTTACGGTATGCTGGGATGAACACTGGGCAAGACATTGCTGCAGGATATTTTGTGCAGACTTGACTATCTCTGTGTTTATTTTACGCAGGCAGTGACTGCAGAGATAAACAACCATCAGTTTGTGTTTATTCCGTATCGTTATTTTGTGTACGGCAATATGGGTCATGGGAACAGGAAAACCTTTCAAGCTTTCACCGTCTGCTATAGTACCGTTAATTCAGTATTTGCAAAATAGGTTTTAGAAAAATCGTGTGTCTAGAAGCTGGACCCGTGCTGCAATCTACAGATAACTAGGTATCGCTTCTCAAAGAAAACTGCAAGAATAACTTGTCTATGCAGAATTCTGATAACATTGATTGCGAACTGTTCGCCTAAATAAATTGTGTTTTGTAACAGCCCGTATTTTGTAACAGCTATAATTACCGGTAGTAAAAATATTTAAGTTGACTACATTACAAGTGAAGTACGTACTATGAGTCTATGATCGTATTGTTGCGATGTAACTTTAAATCAATGGGACTTTCTTAAAATTGCTCCGCGTTGCTATAAATCGATTTTTATTAGTACGGTATGGGTCCTGGTCGTTTTAATTAACACCGATGCAGCGCTAACGTAGTTAGAAAATTGCACAGGTTGCTTGTCAAATGCAATTACTGACAGCTGACTTTCAACTGCGCATGTGATTAATGACGTTGTAAACTTACAGCACGGCTAAGCGATTTTCGTGACGAGCCGGAAAGGGTCGGACCCAGCCTGAAAGCCTGCTTCGATTTTGCCGCGCAGAGCATTCCAGCGGATAAGCACACCGCGACACGGGTTCGGTTGGGAGCCACAGCCGGCATGCGAATCGTTGCGTAAGCACGTAAATAAAAGTATTTACTGTTCATTTAGTGTAACTACTTACACAGCTCAATAAGGCTTAACATTAACAAAACTTTGAAAGCGCTATGCAGCCAAAAATTTTGAAGAGCAAAGTTTAACTTTGCGCCCGAATTTTTCCGGTGTTTAGAAGTGACCTTACATTATGAAGAAACCGTTAATAACAGTGTTTTTTGTAATTACATGACAATACCTTGTAAACAAATTTTTTGTCGGTTTAAATGTACTGTACTGCTACCCTGCACTTGTCCATTTATTTTGCAGTGCAGGCGCACGTACGTTGTATGAGCCCATTCAGCTCGCTGTTCACGATTCACATACACGGCCTACAACTGCGTGCAGAGAGCAGGCAACTGATTGAACGTGAGCGGCTTTAGCTCTCACTCGCCTACAGAGTCTACAGTGTAGACGACTCAAACCGTACAAAAGTCTGGACAAGTGCAGGGTAGCAGTACAGTAACTAAAAAAATGTTGACCTTTGTGCATTGTTGCCAGCACGGAAAATGCCACTGCCGCTAATGGAGTATTGACCGCCATCTACCAGTATCTGCGAGCCAATTACAATTTTTCCGTCACCGAGGGTGACATTCACATACTGCCGGCTGAAGACGAAACAGCCTACGTCTGGGCGGCTGTCAATTACGCTGCCAAAGTGCTACAGGATCCGGTATAATACATTTTCCCTTTAACGCTTTAAACGCAGGATAAGCGGTTTTCCATCACGCAAGGCTTCCATAAAATTGTCCCTTGTTAATTTCCAGCTGGAACGCAACAACACATGGACTTCATTGTACATGGGCGGCGCCTCCACCGACGTCTCCATGGATGTCAGCAAGCGGGACAGTACAGCGACAGCCGGATTGGCTGCCGATTACTCCTTAACCCTCTTCGATCATACGTTTCCGTTATTCATTAAAAATTTTATCTGTTACGGGAAAGATCAGGCCTTCCTGCGCTATCAAGCGCTGCTGGTGAAGAGCAGCAATTTCGTCAGTCCGGTGTATAATCCCTGCGGGGCCTGGAATCACACGATTATCGTCCGCCATAAGGATCTCTTTAATGCCGCCTGCAGTACGGTGCGTGTGCCCGAGGAGCTGACGAGCCAGGAGAGCTATGAGATTATCGGGACGGCGGATTTCCAGGGCTGCCGGAATATGACGCGGCGACTGTTTATGCTGGATTTTGCGCTGCAGCCGGCGCAGTGCCCGTTTAACGATGCTGGGACGTGTCCGCTGGTGACTGGAGGCGGGCATATTTTTTACGGACGGTTATTGGTGGGTAGAGTTAGTTGTTTTATGGGTTTCATAATTACTACTCATTTAATTAAAACGTAATTTAACCAAAATGAAGCCACAACTGAATTAAAAATATTTTATTCTTTAGTGTTGATTTATTATTGATTAAAATGTTTTATTCTTTAGAGTGCGTCATACTTAAACGCTGTTTCTATTTAATAGTAATTATTGTATTAAGTACGCAATCGTCTGTTCCGTATTCGAAAGATTGCTCTCAAATTCATGCGCCCTTCGTTTGGCTGGATTTATTTAGCGCCTTTTTATTAACTGTTAACTGCTGAAAAATAAACTGTGTTTCTAAAAACAACTTTGCTACACTTTTCTGCTTGTAAATTTAAAATCAAACCGGATGTAACAAAACAGTATTATCCAGTACACTCTGTACATCGATTACGCTTGTCTGACGGATTAGTTCCCAGCTTAATTATAGAACAAACTGCACGCTAGCAACTTATTACCGCCGGTCGTTTACCTAATGATGCAACAAAAAGCCCACTTTGTTGTTGTACCCTTTACCCATGCGTTTATCTTCCCACACGCACACAGGCTTCTGGTGGATTTGCCTACGATGCCAGCACACTGAGTCTGCTATCCAACCGGACGTTTGTCGTCAGTGTGCCGTTTGACATTGATGGACAGCGGCGGGCGCTGCATGAATTATGCTCCACACGCTACGTTGACGTGAGAAGAAAAACTCCTCCATTAATTATTAATCTACAGCATACTTGGATGTATGACATAATCATAACACTGCAGGTCATGGACATGGCCTACTCCGCTAATGTGAAAGCGGAGTTTGCCCTGCGCGCCTGCTTTGACGGGGTGTACAGTGGGACGATGCTGAGTGATGTGTACCGGCTGGATGATGAGACACTGAAGAATTCCGTGTTCAGTCGATCGGTTAGAAAAATAATCAGCAGTGCTAATTTAAAAAACTGACAACTTAGTCGACGCTAATTTGTAGGTGAATGATGAGGATGTGAGCTGGACGTTGGGATGGGCGCTAATCACTTCCGTGACGAAGAATACGACGGTTACGTCGCCAAACTCTGCCGGTGTATTGCGAGCGGTTTCACTTTCGGCAGTATCTTTTCTTGTATTCGTTCCGTTTCTATTTTCTTTTGTGATACACTTGCAATTTTAACTAAATTTCAAACTGCAATGCAAAAACCGATCAAGCCCGGGTTGTAGAGTTTACGACGACTGCATTGCAGAGTAGCCATATAGGGTATTCTGAATTCGATAAAGCTGCAGGAGATTCGAAGAAACACGAGCAATTCAAAGGTCACTATCGTTGGCACATTGTTCTGCCGTCACTATTTTGCTATAAACTGCATACGTCAACCGATTTTTTAACGACAACGGTTGCGTTACGCCCCATTCGCCCCGTGGCCAAGGTCACCATGTTTTGCATAATCTTCATCTCTCGTCTTTCGGTATGAAAATTAAAGTGATTGGCTATGAGGTTGCTGCAGCAGGCGCTTATAGGTATATTACAGCGCACGACCCTTGTTTCGCCACAAAAGTATGCGGGACCAGGAAGTTATTTGATCAATTTTGAAGGGATCAAGAACGTCATGGTACGTGATGTGCTGATATATTGCAGCCTTAGCCGATCGACCGGAAACTTTGCTTCGATACTAATAGCGACCACATCGGTTCCAACATACAACGCATGTACCGGTACATGCATGCCTTGTATATGCCTACTTCACGATTCTCTGTATTACAAAAGTTTCTGGAGATATCTTGCGGGACGTTATCTGAATGTCCCTCCACGCTGACAAAGAACTGTGGATATTTTTATCCCGTTTACAAAGACTGAATATTTCCGTCCCCGTGAATATTTTTACAATAAATTAGATTATGTGGTTTTTTATAGCACGAAACGCCCAATTTCAAAATAAGAGCTAATGGTACACTTGAAATTGCTATTTATTGAAATTGAGATTGCTATTTATTGGCCGTTGATGATCATGCTGAAATAGTTCTATTGACATGAATGTACGTTCTTTGTTGTGTATACTGTAGTTTATAAAGTTGTAGTGAGTAATGCGTATCGGATGAGTTTATTTTTGAGCGTGTGCCGGCAGTATTGCACAGAAAAAGCTTTAACGACGATCCCCAGTTACTGGAAATGGTATCGAATATCAATAATGAAAATTCTGCAGAAACGATAATTCTGGTCTATGTGCACATTTGTACAGGACTACAGGTATCTGGGGCAACAAAATTACAACAATTAAGTACTCGTATTGTAACAAACGATTCTATAGCTGCAGGTTCCAGACACATGTAAATACACTGCAGTGTGCCTGTTGCATAACCATAGTTATATACAGCTGGTAAGCGTCCAGTTTCCACTACTCAGGCTGATTTTGTTCCGGGCAGATTGTGCGTTTACTAATAACAATTTGGTAAGGTTTAGCATCGTACGTCGATCCCGTACTGGGAGATAAATCGGGAACCACGCCGGCCGGGAGACTAACGTCAAAGTTCTGCAACAACGTCCCGACGAAGAGTAGCAGCTCCATCTTGGCCAGATTCTCACCGGGACACACCCTTATTCCTGTCAAGCATACAATAACTGTTTACCACTTGGACAGTAAAGGGAAGTGGCCCGGTACATGATACCAAACTCGTGTACATGCGCGAAAACTTTCACATTCGCGTACCCCCGGTTCGGGAGTTAATGTTGTAAGAAAATTCCAAAACGTTTAAGTGCATTCACGTGTACGGAAACTTTCTTTACGCACCGATCTCTTAAGATTTTGCACGTAAATGGGCGTAACTATGAAGATCATTTTTAGTACACCGGATCTGCATAATTTCTTTCAAATTTTCTGTAAGAATTCATTTTAAATTTTGAAAAAAATTCCAAAAGCGCGGTACGGTGTAGAAACAATCTTCAAAAATATCATCAGCATATGTGCGGTTACATGCAAAATTTAAAAACGATCGGTTAATAAGTAATGAGACTTTTTTATAAGTGAGTGCATTTAAAATTTTTGAAATTTTCTTGCAGCAAAAATTCCCTGACCAGATGTTGCGCGCACAATCGGTTTTCACCTCTACGTATGCAAATCATCTGGCTGCAGAATGTCATAAAAGGAAGCAGTAAAGTGTTTGGGAGTGCACGAATGTGAAAGCTTTCGCGCATGTACACGAATTTGGTACCCTGTTACCACGCCACTCCCCTTAAATCGCTGTATATTTTAAAATAAAATCCGTAATTAATTCTACCTGTCCCAAATGGTAAGAACCCCTCGGGGATTTTCACATGTCCATCCGGACCGATAAACCGGCTGGGGCAGAACTTGTCGGGTTCCGGGAATAATTGCGGATCATGGTGGATGTACCAGGCATTCGGCAGCAGCACCGTATCCGCGGGAATGTAATACTCGCCGATCGTGGTGTTCTGGAGAGTCCGGCGTGGTATAAGGAACGGCACGACCGTGGCCAGACGCTGCGACTCCAGGATGGTGGCTTCCAGGAAGGTCAAGCTGGACCTGTCGGACCTGCGTAAACATTGCAAATGGTTACGTAATTCTTCTCGCAATAAGCTACTTATTGTGGACCACACAGTGTATCGGCTTCGGGCAAGTTAAAACAGTTTTTGCGTACCATTGTAGCTGCCGGGTTAAGCCGACATGTTTATCCAGTTCAGCGTGTATGGCGTCCTGGATATCACGGTGTATGGCAATGTACAGCAGTATCTGCATGGTGAAAACATTTCTCAGAAAGGTACAAGTGAGTGCCATAAGGTTTAAACGCTGTTGTAATACTTTATCCAGGTTGGTTTACGCACGGTGTGCGAATACGCTTTTGACATATATGCTGAATTTTTTCGTGTAAAGTGATATTCGATTTCTGCTGATTTTGCGATGTAGAAAAAGATTCTCATAATTGCAGACGTTTATTTATGAGCAAATGCTGTAATCGTACCCAGCGTATGGTTGACGCGGTGGTGGCGAATCCCGCCGCAAAGATCTCACCGACGCACTGCCGCATTTGGAAATCTGCAAATCACTTTCGCGTTACTACAATTTTTCGGACAGAAACATTTAAGACATCGGCAATAAAGAATAATTAACAAGGTTTTAGCGCGCGGCGTATGGAACAAGGCCGTTAATGAAAAGATTTGCATAATTACTATAAACGTAATATCAGCGTCATTCGAGGATTTAATTGGCAGACGTATTTGCAGATCAATAAATCATTAAAAAAAAACAAACGTTTATGTATATCTGCCGGCATAATTCTATAACATTTTAACATGCTGTACTAGCAATGTTACTAATCTGTCTTTCGTCCATAAGAAACTGTTGCTTGTCACTACACTACAATTCGCATATGCCATAGCACTTCTGTGAACGATACGTCGTATTAAAAGCAGAGAGCGAAAATTCGCTTGCTTATCAAAACAAAAAAACTGAAATTTTCAAGAAGTATTATTCTACATGAAACATACCATAAATACTAGAGTAAGTAATTCAGAATATTATTCTATGATCGTAAACAACTTTGACGTGTGACTTACAAATCACTAATGATGCTACCGATTTGTATACTTTCCAAATCTCCCACAGTCCCATACATACCAGTAAAATACGGATCTTTCGTTGTTTCCATATGACTCAGGAACGCATCGACATAATTCTGTACCGACGCATCATGGACCGGCAGTTCCCCGCGGCCTTTGATCAGCATGGCCTTCCGCTGCCGGAAGTGCTCCAGCTCCTTGCGCAGCGACTGATACTGCCGGGAGAACGGCGGGATATACCGCAGCCAGGGAAAGAAATTCAGCAGCGCCGAACTGGCCATGTTCTCTTCGATGGTCTGATCGATGAACTTCACCGTGTGCCGGAAGTTCTCGTCTTCATGGGAGAAGCGCGTGCCAAAGAGAATGTAGGCGATGACGTTGCCCACCGCTTTCTTAATCAACCACGTATTATCAAAGGGTTTTCCGCATTCCTGCTCGAAATCATTGCACAGTGCCACGGCTTCCTCGTTGATGACTTGCTCGAAGACGTTGGTGCCCACGCCGAAATCACGGAAGACTTTCTGCGCGAAACGCCGGTGCACTTTCCATGCTTCGCCTTCGTTCAGGACAATGCCTAAAGGTTAAATAGAGAACGGTGGTTTAAAAATTAACGGAAAATTACGCTTTAATTTACCGCTTTACGTACATAACGTCACTAACGTGTATTATCTTAAATAATTTGTAAATTTTCTTAGCGCAATACAAACTACAGATACTGGTGCAGTTCAATGATAATTAAATTTTAATTATGCTCCTAAATCGTAATACCAATTTAATGTACTGTAACTGCAACCTAGCGCTCTTATCCCGGTATAAAATTATGCGTACAAGTTTAAATAGAACCTGTATTTTGAAAACAGTAAAGGATTATTCAACGGGCAGGTTGAAATTTGTGTATCGTATTACAGTAAGCTCATATATTTTATCATATACAACTACTAAACTCGGTTTAATTTTTCTCAGGTAAACAAACCAAAACACATGTACAGAGTATACGAGCATGCATTAAAAGTTCCATTTTTAAATGAGGAACGTATTAATTTGTATGTAGCGTATTAATATTTACGATCTGCTTAAAAATTCTTTCAGGAGCTTATAATCAACGTAATCAAAAAGAACATATATACGTAAATAAACATACATACGTACGCTCGTATAATTTTTACAAGGTTTTTTTTTTTTTTTTTACATAATATCTACATAGCACATACCACAGTACACACATATGAAATCAAACAGAATTCATGCCATAAAAACAGTGTGCCTTTAAGTGAACTGCATATACACCCTGTATGTAACCAACCTTTGGAAAACGGCTCATCTTTCTTCAGCGACATCTGCGTGAGGAAGAAATTGGGCCGTCCCCCAAACACCTCGCAGGAGGCATGCAGAATCTGCTTGACCAGCCGGAAGTCGTTGAGGACAATGTAGACTTTGGGTCCCAAGTAGCAGGAGAAAATATTCCCATATTTCAACGCCCATTTACGCAGGGTTAAATGCAATCCAGCTGGATCCACAAACGGTAGCGATCCCAGGAAAGGAAGGGAAAACGGCGAAGGCGGCAGTGTTTTCTTGCTTTTTAAGCTGGATCTCCGGACAACGCGGGCGGCCGCCATAATCATCAACGCACAAACGGCCAAAACAGACGCTGCGATAACAACATCCATGACTGATACAAATAATTTAAATAAATGAAATTAAATCCAATAAAATTTATACCATCAGAAAACGGTAAAACATTCTTCTGCGTGCAGCACTGTGATGATTTTATTAATCCAGTATAATACGACTGTTATCACTGCGGGAAGAATTAGGCTTGCACACCATCTGATATTTTTAAAGCAAGAAATACACGTTCATTGAAAAAGACGTTGGAAATAATTCTGCACCACCAACAAACCGATTATTACCAGCATTTTATACTACACAAGGCGTTTCGTACATGCACACGATAGACAACCGTAGTCAGTGAGGTTATTGATCCGGTTTTAACCTTGAACTTAATACATTACGCCAGCAAATGTCACAGCCTTATCGGCGACACACTCGACACGAAAGGTGAACGGACAAACCGGTTTTATCAGCACACTTCCGCATGGCCTGCACGTATATCTGCACCGTTATAATAATTATTGTTAACGTGATTTTGCGGTGTTACCACATAATCTGCCCGTTAATGATTTCTTACGATGCGGTACATGTTTATCTTGGCTACAGTGGCCCGCCGGCTATCATGATACGCGGCCAGGCATGCATGTTTGTTTGATAATTGTAACGATTTCCTATCAGTCGTGATGCACAATACGATTATATGATTTTTATAGTATAGTACTGACTTTGCCCTGGCGATGTATACGTCCTTTATTCTGAAAACCTTTATCGTAAACTATATTCAACGCATGCGGAGACCAGTTGGTTCGTTCACACCGAACGGAAGAATGGGCTTGGGAAAATTGTGCCGGTTCCATTTTCCACATCGAAATTTGGTAGAAGGTGTTTCGTTGCCGTTACAGCACTTATTTGGTCCTAATACCATCTTACCATCTATCACTTTTATCGCGGCATTATATGAATATTTTATATTTTACTTTGGAGTCGAACGTAAAAAAATGGACGAACAATATAAAAATCCTGCGAATATTTCTCTGGCATACAATGCTCTTAGCTTATACAGATTTTGTACTTTTCATTTTGAAATTACGTAATATGAGTCATATGACTCTGCATATCTATAATATGTGCACCTACAGATACGGCCACGGTTGTAGTATGTACTCTGTACAGGACATTGCATTCGCTAAATTATTTCTTCAAGCGTCTTTCTCATTCTTAATTTCTTAGCGGATACAAACTATAAACTAAGAATACTCTGTGCAGAATAAGTAATAATATTAAGTAGATTCATTTTACAAGATCGGCATAGTTATAGTAATTAATATGCAATTATTTGTAAAGCTGAACGAATACTAACGTACTGTATAATAATCTGAATTAGAAATCAGCCGCAGAATTCTTGACACAAATCCACGTAGTCAGTTAATGAAATACCGTATTTTTCGGATTAGAATTTTCATTGATACCCAGGGGGAGGGCCGGGCCCGGGAGGCTTATACGGTAGAGTATTTTGAAAAAAACAAAGGGGGGAGTATGGTAAATTCAGAGGGAGATGGGGCTTATACAGATATGGTAGAGGACGCTACAATTCTGGAGAAGGCTTTCATTTCGAGAAATACAGTATCTTAATTATTTAACAGGCGAACACATGGTAGCATGTCGATGACGGTACGCAATAGCCAGATTTGAAAGCTCCAGCATCCGACCGCACATGTTGATGCACAACACATACTTCCGGTCACGGGTGATTTAAACCGACCCGGCCAGTAACACAATCCAGTGGCAAGTTCACCTGCAACTGCCTGCGCCACTGCCTGGCAAATTGCTCCAAATCCTCGAAAATAAATCTACTCGGGAAAAGAAGCCGTATTTGTTTGACTGGATTACATGTACAGGCACAAAGAACAGTAATTTAGGAACGCTACCAGCTAGAGTAGGTACAAATATCTATATACAACGACCGCGTGGGAATTCCACGTATAAGCACATAAATCTTCGCTTCCCCTTGTGGAATAGGACTGAGCGCGTGCCCCCACCATCATTAATTATGGTAAATTAAAATCATTACTTAATTTATTTACCACAACCTGGTTTTATGAATAATCTGTGCTAGCGATTCCCATGCAGTTAATGTCTTCTTCGTTTTTTGCAAAGCATATTGTACGTCGTAACTGTAAGTTTGTAACTTGTGAGATACAGACTTGAATGAAAATACTTTTATTCACCCCCCCCCTCAGTAAAGCTAAGCGCGTGGCCCCGCCACAGCATTCTATACGCCAGTGACCCAGTCTGCAGAAACATGCTGCAGCAGAGTAGCAAACCTAACAAAAATTTCTCCAGTTATCCATATCTTGTCTCCATCGGAAATTCACCATTCCCAAAATCACATTCGACGTTATTTTTGTCCAATAATTTTCGGGTGACACGATGCCGCCTCCGGCTCATCCCGCCGCGTACCCGTTCACCCCCAGCCCTCCACTCGAGACCCCCACCTTCCTCACTGCATCCCCTACCTGGCAGCTGTCCTCCCCCGCCACCTGGCCCAAATGGGCCATTGCCCTCCTCATCGGCGTACCCGTCACAGCGGCCGCGGCCTACCTCTACCTCCACCGTCAGCCCCCTCGCTCGCGCCCCAACGGCCGCACCCCTAGCGATCGGGTGGACCGGGGGAAGACCCGCGCGTACCATCCGCGGTCCGCCGGGGATGCGCCGTCCCAGACGGGTCTGGACGCCGAGAAGGGCGGTCGTCCGCTCAGTGAACCCGTAAGAACACTCAGACAACTTCCGCGGGCGGTTGGTGATAGTGTCAGGGTGTGTTGTAGAAGACCGTGGCGGAACGGCTGAACGCGCTGAAGAACCAGGGGAACGCGCTGTTCCGGGATAAGCGCTTCCTGGAGGCCAAGAAGAAGTACTCGGAGGCGGTGGAGTTGGCGTGGGCGTTCCGCGAGAATAAGGAGGTGAAGGAGGATCTGGCGCAGTCCTTCCAGAATCGCGCGGCCTGCAATGAGAGCCTGGTAAGACGGAAATTATGGTGCATAGTCATACGTGAGTTGGTCGTTTGGATCAGCGTTGTCAGTTCTCCTAAGCACATAATTTGGTTTTTTATTCATTTTTGTTTTCTCTTACATTTTACTCTAATTTTACGTTTTTTATTTTTAATCTTTAACACCAGAATAACTAAATTGTTTAAAATAGGATAGGATTGTTTGTTTAAAATACGGCTCCTCTCATTGCTGTTTTAATTCTCGAAAAATTGATTATCAGCGTAGTTTGATGGCTTCCGAGTTGAAAATGACTGTTTCTACCTATTTCTGTGGATCGTTCCATGTAAATTGCAAATAATTGCTGCTAATGGAGTTAACGAACAATTTATGCCGAATTATGTTTTATTTTAGAATAAAATAAATACGTGGTTTTTTTTTGTAGAAATTATTCGAGGATGTGGTGAGTGACTGTACGGAAGCGCTGCAGCTGGATAATCACTACGCGAAAGCCTACGCACGGCGCAGTCGCGGACACGAACGCTGCGGCAATTTATTACAAGCCGTTTACGGTAAATTAAAATATTAGACTTTTTTCCACGCACGCCTACAGCTAAATTGGCTGCTTCTAAAGTTTCTGAAATATACGGAAAAATTCAGAGATACGGATACAAAAATGTCAAATTTCCGAAAAAATAAAAACAGAAATTCAGTGGTGATATTATGGCATTTGCTGTGGTACATTTGTAACCGTAATTTCATTCTGTTTTTCTCTGTTCAGATTTAGTGGCCGCGGCCATTCTGACCAATTTTAAAATCGAAGAATACCGCGAGCGCTCGGAGAAGCTCATGGTGCAGCTGGCCGTTAAAATGGCCAAAGACGAGATGCGGGTGAGTTCACTGGCAAACCGAAAAACAAATGTTTATAAAATTTTCTAATTCACCCAGAAGCATTTGTCCAGCATCCTGATAAAATACTACACTTGCTGGATTTTGGATTCTTTTTTTGTGGAATAATAATTAAACATCGTTGTGTCGTTAATTTCATTCGACATTTTCTGCCAGGCAACTATCTGTAGGTCTGATTTTTATTCCGGTTTATATGAAATATTTTCTGATAAGTGGAATATTTTGTGATATATATGGAATATTTTCTGATATATTATGTATGGAATATTTTCTGATTATTTGCACCGTTATATGGGATTTGTTTTGCTTGTCGCTTTGACGGTTTTTGTGGATTTTATTATTCCAGAGACGTTCGTCGGAGGGTCACACGCCGAAGCTGAGCAAGGTCTTTGTCCGCCAGTTCAATCAGGGTTTCAGCCAGGATCCCATCCAGATTGCCGTCAAGAATATGGACTCTAAGTATGGGTAAGCGGGAATTAGTGAACAAATGATAAATAAAAGAAAATTGGCGCTGTCTGTGAAATAAATCGATATTTTTATTTGACCAACTATTTGTGATGTGTCAGTGTATCCAACTGTCCCGTAAGCGCCGGGGAAGATGATTATCCGCTGACAGGTTTCATTTTCGATTTATTCCTTTTTTATCTATTTTAAATTTTTTCATTAATATTTGTAAGTTTTTTTGCGTTTGTTGTTGTGCTTATTTGTTTCTTACTTTGATAATTTGATGTACTCATTTTCCTGTCAATTTTGTAATGTATCTGTATTTGATTGTGCTATCGTTCGTTCTGGTGGTTACGTATTTATTCAAACAATTTCGTTTACGGTTATGTTTCTATTATAAGTTTTTGTACTTTTGTACCTGCTGTTGTTGTGATAATTTATTTCTTATTTTATCAGAGTAATTTTTTTTTATTTTTGTTGATTTTTATGGAAATTGTGCTGGGTGAGTACGGGATTGTGTGTTGCTGATGTTCTGTGTCTGTGTATTTCCGGCAGATCGACGAAGAAGGCGCTGGAAGCCTGGTCGCGGCACCGCTACGACGCCGTACTGGAGGAGTGCGAGAAGGTGGTGGCCGAGGCTTCGGCGCTGGGCACCCGCGACGATCTCAATCTGGCGCTGCTGCTGCGCGCCACATTACAGTTCCTCATGGGCCACATCCACGACGCCAAGGTCGACTTCAACCGCGTCATCAACGCCCACGACGCCTCCACGGCGGTACGTGGATTTAGCCAAATTTCAAACAAACATCAAAAGCTTATCGAATTAAATTCATTAAGTTGAATAATACAAATAAACTAATATCAGTTTTCGCAAAAAAAAATACTGTATAAATATATACTGAAACCATATGCTTTTTTATTCATAAATGTATAATATGTAGTTGTTATCGATTTCGGCTGTTCTTCTTCTCGTACAGTAGCTGTACAACGACTGATAGGAACGATGAGTACTGTAGTGCAGTGGCTTGTTGAATCGGGCTTGCTTTTGGCTGGATACCAATATCCCAAGCAATATTATCCGCAGTAATTGTTAGCACGTAATTTATCAGTTTTTTATTTTTTTTATTCAGTGTATTGACAATTTGATCAGTAACATGAATTCTCCGATTCACACTTGTTTCTTCGTAAAAGAAAAACGGGGGAAAATGTAATAAAAAGGTTACTTGACGGTTTTGGTGGTTTCCGGTGAATGTGACTGTGTGTCGTAATTTTTATTAATATGATTCGCTATTGTTTTGACAGGAGAAGACCAATGCCAAGATTAAGATGGCCTGCATCCATCTGCAGGAGAACAATCCGGAGCAGTGTCTGGCCGTGCTGAACGAAGCCCTGAGCAGTGATCCCACCTGTCCCGACACCTACTTCCACCGGGCCCAGGTATGCGTGGGGCTTGTGACAGCCACTAAGAATTTTTCTGATTGTGATTATTTCGTTTTCTTTTTACTCGGTTATTTAGTCGCTTTTAACCTGTGTAATAAATTTTTCTACTTTGTTTTTATTCCTGATTTATATTTCTATAATTTGTTCCTGTGTATCTGTTTTTTTATTGTTTCATTGATTTCATTTGCTTTATATTTTTATTTGGCTATTGTGGTTAACTTGTGTGATAAATTTTCCTGTTTAATTCTATTTATACTCCTAATTTATTTATTCTGTTTTGTTCCTGTAAATCTGTTTTTTTTAATTGTTTCATTTGATTTCATTTGCTTTATTTTTTTATTAGGCTATTTTGGTTAACTTATGTGATAAATTTTCCTGTTTAATTATATTTATACTCCTAATTTATTTATTTTGTTCCTGTAAATCTGTTTTTTTTTTGTTGGTTAATTGATTTCATCTGCTTTTTATTTTCATTAATTTTGGTTGTTCTGTTTGTATTGACTGAATATTTCGGTAAGATAAGGTGCCTTTGCTGGTGAGTAGGTGCACATGCTGGTGAACAACATGGAGGACTGCCTGACGGACTTCCGGCAGTGCAGCACCCTCAACGGCGGCTGCGACCCGGTGGCGGCCTTCCACGTGGCCCACATCGAGTACCGGCTGCATGTGCTGCAGGAGCCGGCCGATCAGCAGCGCGCCCTGCGCATCTTAGAAGAAACCGTGTGTAAGAATATCAAGAGCGTCGATGCCTACACCCTCGTGGCACAGGTCAGCATAATACGCTTTTTAAAAAAAATTTGTTGGATTATTTCAAATATTATTGTGGAATATTGGTGAACTGTTCATGGAACCGACGTAGTAAATTATAGTGCAGTGGCACAGTGTTATCCTCGGTGAGCTGACGGTGATGTTACAGTTGTTAGAAAAATATTACGTCGAAAGTTTAAACTTTTTTTGATTTCTAGCGAAACACTGTTTATCGCGTTGATAATACTTAATTTGTTTATCAGCTGTAATACGAGTATGAGCATAATATTCGATTATTTTCAGTTACTTGTATTTTGATTATTTCTTTAGTAGCAGCTGCTTGTACATTTGGTATTCGCTTCGCGTGCTGTTGCCTGTTCGCATTGTATGACTGTACATATTTCACACACTGAACGTTAAATCTTGTTTGACTTTCCGTAATTTCCACATTTTTGAAATTTATTTTCGCCTAAAAACTCTTGGTGTAAAATTGACCAAAAAAGATTTCAGAAAATAAGTGGTAATTAGAAGGAACTAAAATAAAAGACAGTTATTACTGATGTCAAATTGCAGTAATAACTTATTCATTGTTTACGATTTTCTCCGGGTTTCTGCCTAATAAAAACGGCTGGTCCTTGCAGTTGTACATGGAGCTGCAGGAATTCGATAAAGCGGAGCAGCTCCTAAAGCAGGCTCTGTCCAAGACCAGCGATCCCCACAACGCCGTTGTATACACACAACTCGGGTAATAATAATAATGCGTTTTTAATCCGGAATTTTCGCTCAAATATTAAAGGAAAAATGGCCGATATTCCGGTGTGTTGAAACGGTTGTTATTTGTGGGTAGTTTGGTGGAGTGTGTGGCGCGGGAGAACCGGGACGCCTGCATTGTCCTGCTGACCAAGGCCATGGAGGCCGACGAGCACTACACACCGGCCATCGAGATGCTGATGGATATGGAATTACAAGCGTACGTTAATCTGATATGAATAGTAAAATGGACGTTTCACATACCAAATAATGTTATTCTGCAATGCAAAGTGAAAAAATATTTTTTTTATTATATAATATGTAAATAAAAAAGGAGAATCGTTATAGTTTGAGGTTTTAATTTATCGTGTGCCGTGCTATGTTAAATGTATACGGTTAACTTTGGTGATCCGGAAGGCGTAAGCCACTCTACTACATTTTATCATGGATACTGTTGGAATTGTGGCTGTTGTAAATCTATTCTGTATACTGCGTTTAAATTTGCTGTAATTCTACAATTATTTCTAAATTTAATATAAGAAAGTCGTTGTTTACAAATGTGTATGTATGGAATTTTTTGCTACAGCTCAGATCGCTAGTAAATTGTATAAAATATGCGGGATTTATTTTGAAGACTGAAGCCGTTTTCAAGCCGATTTATTTTTATATATGATTGTGACAGTATGTCGATTTATTTGGTATAGTTTATTATGAATATCTGTACAATTTAACTTTTAAACAGCCAGTGTGATAAGTATGAAATTTGACCATCCAGAGTGGGCAGACAATTTCGAATGCATAAGCCGTCTATACAACGTTTATTTTTACCTGGAAAACGAGGGTGTTAAGCAATTTTTAGTCATATCAATTTAATTAATAATATGTAGAAATTTTATTAATATTAAAAATTTGTTTGCTACAGATTTTTCGAATTTTGATTTTTAGTTTCATCTCTGTGGTTTTGAACGTATTACACATTTAGACTTTTAATTAGAATGCTTTCGAAGCGTCCAGTGGCAGTGGGATAAATAGGAATACGGGAAATGTTCGAATTTTATTTTGTTTTTATTTTATTCCTGGCATCCAGGGTGGGCAGATAATATCAAACGCAGGCGGTCAACAAAGCGCTATTTTTACCGGAAAAACAGTTGAATAAAATAGTATTTAAATGGTTGAATTTATTCCCCATGGCCCCTAACGTGCGTCTGTTGGCTCGGCAGGGGGAATCTGCGGGAAGCGCGCGTGTTGTACGAGCGCTGCCTGGATCTGGCCAAGAGCGAGGCGGAGATGATGCCGCTGATCCAGGCCTACCAGGTGGGCGAAGCCGGCCAGATCGTCCACGAGCAGCTGGGGCTGGCCGTCAAGAGCCCCGCCGGCGGCGCCGTGGGGGCGGCACATCCCGGCTTCTGATCCTCTCTCAACGCCGAACGGACCGACCGGGATGATTTTATTGTGTTATTGTCGTCTTCTTTCTTTTTCTGTGCTGGTGTGGGTAGGTGGTTTTTTTTCTATTTTTCTTAAGGAATTGCTGGTGTCATTCCCCTGCGTGGTGTTTATGGGGGGTATTTATGGGAGACGGTGGAATGGGGTTTTTATTGAGTTTCTCTCTTGATTTTGTAAGCGTTATTAAATTGACAGCGTGGAGCAGAGCGTCGGCTTTCAGTTATTCAAATGGCGATTGACGTCCGCAGGTGAATAAATTATTAAAAGAAAATCCTTTGAAGCCGATTGCCGGAAACTGCTGACTTGAATTTACGATAAAATGCTAAAAAATAATTGAATAATAAATAAATACTGTGGATTAACGACAGCATATTTGGTTACAGTATAATAATTATATAAATAAATACAGTGGATTGCACTGACAGTGAAAATTGCTAAATTAAATTTGCCATCCAATATTTGCTAATAAATACATAAATAAACACAGCATCTTGCACTGAAAACTGCTAAATTAAATTTGACCAGCAAATGCCTGCTGATAAACAAAAGGCGCTAATAAGGAAAAATTTCGCTAATAAGTAATAAGCATAAAAAGAAAAAATTCAGCGGATTACACTGAAAACTGCTAAAAGAAATTAAGGATAAAAATTCTAATAAATAATCTGCACGGTTTAAAGTTTAAACCTTATGTACAGTACTGCACATCCTAACAGCGTACAGTATAAGGATTTAAATTCAGAGGGAAAATGCGGCCGCTGCTTTGGAAGTGTAGGTTGTTTTAAAGAGTTAGAAAGGTTGTTTTACTTGATCTAGTCTCTTTTATTTTGAACTTGATACGTATCTGTCGGTTCAAACATGTTGTTTTTGGGATTTTCCTAAGCTTTTCGCATCTGCCAACGTATACGGTTAATGTAGTTTTACCGTGGCTTATGATTTGCGATATATTACCGGCAACGCACGTAAATTCTCTCAGAAATAAAAACCACAGAAAACGCAATATGGATATTACAGAATAATATTAAACATAGTCTGAAAATAAATGGATAACATGACGCTTATAAAAGCGTCAAGTTAAAACGGCAGTAAATACGTATACATGAACAACTTCAAGCAAATTGTAGTAGTTTTTTTCTTCTCACGGCAAGTCAAAGGTCAGCTTGACACCGGCATTGTGCGGTGTTAATGGACCCGGTGTCAGGCCAATCTCCACGTCGCATGCAAAATTAATTATTGTTTACCGATGACCTTTGCACGGTGCGCGTGGCAATTTCCGCACATCTGCACCTGATGCGTATAAATCGCTGCAAATAATTCATGGCGGCTATTTCAGGCTGTTGTTTCATTTCGCTCCGGTGCACACCTTTCGTTGACATTTTTGCCTTCTTCACCTTCTGGTACAGGCTATTTCTTCACTTTTCCAATTAACACCGGCCCAATGTTGCGTGAAATCTTCGTCATTGGTAAGGGGAGAAGCGAGGTGTTTAATAGGCCAGCTTTAGGCGAATCAAACTCATTTATTATTCGCCTTTTAATAATTTCACTGGAACGAAATAGAAATAGAAATAGAAATTAATTATGGAGTAAAAATGTGCGATGCGTTTATTTTAAAACTTGTTATATTGCGAATTCATTGGTCAATGACACATTTATTGAAATTCTACTCGTAATTTACTGAACCAGTATAAATCTAATTAACTGAGTATATGTTATTTAACAGTATTCGTCTTCCAGGAATAATAATGTTCATTATTCAGCGTTGAAGATATTTTTAGACATCCAGCTTGTTCTTAAAATATTTTTGTTGTTGGAGCTGTTATTTTTATTAAATTCTTATTACTGTATTATCATTGATAATATGTTGCGTGTACTACCTCAATGTGAAGAAATCGATAATTAAGGCCGACTTATATATAATTTTGCATAACGAACCATGATACCGGTTATGAGGTGTTGTTTGTACTCACATAAATTTCTGCTTAAAAATTGGATAATTATAGCGCAATTATTAAAAGTAATACTACAAAGTAGTGATACGTATCCTGCATAAAAATAAATATTAAGTATTATTTTCAATATGTATGTCAGCGTTGAGGTAACAATCAATGGGTAGGTAAATGTTATGTAATAATTATATGTACAAAGTCAGTATTTACGCATTTATCTGTTTTCAGCGGCAGTGTGCTTTGTCGGCGCGCACGCTGCCGTCGGGCGGGCGCACATGAAGAATCAGGGCGGCTCCAGCGACGAAAACGTGGCGCATATGTGGCTGGGAAAATGGGAATCCGAGCAAGGAAGTGAAGAGAATTTCGACCAGTTACTGGATGCCATAAGTAAGATCACTCTTTCCACCCGGCACAGTTGCACGCATAAATTTTTGTGTAGAAATATTTAGAATTTCACAGTACATTAGTAATTCTTTGCTATTAAGTGTGATTATTATGATATTGTGCGTCGCTTATAATATGGTCAGTGAAAAACGTAAAACGTTTGATCGGGAAATCCTAGCTAATTATTTTAAAACAGTTTTATGTATGTGTCTAATTAAATTTATACCCGAGGTTTTTTTATGGATCTTAGTTTATGAAAAAGGCTTTTCGTGCATTTATAAATCCGTAATAGAAATCTTTGGCATTTCGGATTTTATTTACATAATTACTTTATTTATGATTACTTTAATTAGCATTTTTGATTACTTAGACAGTTAGACATGTGCATAAATAATAAAACCAACAGTTTGTTGTAATAAATTCTGGTGAGAATTTTTTTTTAAATTACTGCCTATTTAATTAATTTAATCTATTAAATTATTTTTTAGGTTTTAATTATTAATTTAATATTAATTTGTTTATTAATATGTTGATTACGAATTTGATAAACTTGTTTTGCAGAGGAGGCTTTCCCATACTATACCAATAAGAAAATTATCCACGACTTTGTCCGCAAGAGCGATGACGACTACGTGCATAAAGTGAAGATCGGCCAAGGTGAAGATCAATATCAGGTCAGCTTCAAGCTGAACGAAGAAGGGACCCTGCACAAAGCGGGTGCGCCGGAAGTGAAGGTCAGTACGTACACAGTGTCGTATTGCCGGTTCTTCTATTTCAGTACACTCCAGGAATTCTGACGATTGCCTTTAGCAGTATTTGGGTGTAGTTCAGTGTCATATCCGCTCATCTATCCGAATTACTTTAGCTAGTACGCAGCCGATGTTTTACTTTTGTCTTTCAACGCATAAAGCATTTCTTATTATGTCGATTAAGTGGAAAACTAACACTAGCAATAACTATGTAGCTGGCATACGTATCTTTACTCAGTGCACGATAAAATCTCAAGTGATAAAATTATCAATTCACGACAGGAGATAATGTGCATAACATTTGTGAAAAGGTCAAAAGTTTTGCTGGTTTACTTATCCAGTGCTTACAACTTTATGTACAGACTCTGTATGTGCATTATGCGCATGCGTCATCGTGTACACGCGCTGCATAAGAAATAACCGCTTATTAGTGTAATCTTCATAGGATTTTGATAAAATTTGGTTTTGTTTAAATAGTACGAGTAGGCGGTTTGAAAAAAATACCTGGTACGAGTGTTGAAAAGTCTGGTATATTCCCTGAATTAATTTATTTTGCTATTTTACTAATTAGTTGATTTGTGCATATAACAATTTCGCCCACTGGCGCTTTGGCGAACTGTACGGTAAGACGCTCTCATTCTTAATTTTTTTTTGCAGTTTGTCTACAAGGAAACGTCCGGCAACAAACTGGTGGTCCAGCAGCGTGTGGCCTCCAAGAACATTGTCCTGGAGGAGATCTACAACGTCCAAGGCGATAAGATCATGAAGGTAAGCGGGACAGAGCAAAACCGTGTCGAATCGATAGTACTGCATAGGGGTGCGGCGCAATGTGCCGGTAAATGTTTAAATTTAATCAGCGACGTCGAGCCGCTTTTGTGCCGGCGATTGGTTCCGCCCCGGCGAAACGTGGTGGATCGGCGTGCGCATTGACTAATTGTTGCACTTTGTCGTAGGAGTATGTCAGCGGAGATATCCGGGCTAAACGGATCTACCGCCGGATGAACCACTTGTAAATCCACGGCCGACCCGCGCACAATGCTTTGTTGGCTACCGTTTTTATATCTGCGTATTGTGGCATGAAAATGCTTCTGGTTAACGATTCACTCCTTTACGCGGTAATATCAGTAGGCCTAAGATTTCTTGACATTTGCTCCGCTGCTTGACATTAAAATGGACGGTTTTTCTGAAATTCGTCTGGGAATATTAAAAATAAAGGCGGCGTTTGAACAGCAGTGTTCTGCTCCTTCTTATTATGATGTAAGGTCACCACTGCCGGATCGTGTCCGTTTACACAATCTGAATGTCACCGCGTGCATCAGCGTGCAACAACACCGATGATACTGTATGTACTCTGTAAATACAGATAAAGGTTTATCTTAATGTTATTTTTTTTTTAAGTAGTGCTGTAGACGTAAACATAAGGTCATCGATAACCCATCTAAGAGCAAGTAATTCTACTCTGTAGATCCTAACAAGATTTATCGACAAAAGCGCAGTTAAGGTATTCAGCGAAATACAAAACCGATGCCAGTCGACTTTTACATCTGTGATGAAATTAAAATTGCATCATAAATTTCGGACGTGGAAGTACGTAATTGAACGATTGCATAATAAATACATGTAAATACGTGAGAACGAAGAGGGGAGGTGCTCCGTCTTGCCACTACAAACACGTATAGTTTTCCTTCCTGTCGTTACTGTACATACTCTGGTTGAAGGAAAATGATCTAGTAAATCCTTCAGGCTTTACAATCAGGATTTCTTGTTAAAACTGTAGCCGATCGCGCGCTCCTGATAGTTCTTTTAAAAATACCGTACTTGTTGCGTTTCGCCATTCTGCAGCGTGTACAGATGTGCACTGGTGTAATACGGAGTACAGACGCAACAACCGGTTGGACAAATGTATGAGTATTACGAGTATAGAATGATGTTAAAAGGTTAATATTTATTAAGCGCATGCTGGAGCATTGAAAGTCCACTTTCGGAATTTCTTTTTGTGGCTCACAGTGAGTGCATATGAAACCAAAGTTTTCACATCAGAACAAAGTCGTGGTGGTTTTCTGAAATTTCAAAATGAACTGATACAAATTTACAAAATTAAGAAATTTAAAAATCATACGAAGACGGCCAAGGAAAGTTAAATCCAGTTAAAGTATTTCATAGTGACAGGTAGAAATTATCTGCGTAAATAATTACGTGCATTTACGTGAGAACATTAAAGAAGAACAATCCCTAACGGAGTAACGGGACGTTCAGGGAACTAACATGTGCCCAATCCTATCGGATTTATCTTATCCAAATCTGCTCAACCGGATGTTGCGCCCACAATCCGTTTCCACACTAAGAAAAAATTATACCAAACAGTTGGATTTTATAGATCGTACTTGAAAAACTGTTATATATGAAGTGAAGCTATTATATATGACCTTTAGCAAATGGTGATTATAAACGGTCATATCATGAACCCGGCAGCCGCTTGCGGTGGTTGCATATTTACCGGACTTTATTTAAAATTGGCTTTCATCAGCCATTTCAGATGACTCGTGTCCAAAAGACGTGAAACATCATTCGAGAGAATAAGGAATGGTTTTTCAAAATAACCACTGGTGACTGTTGCATAATAAAAGTTTCAGTTTCCTGTAGAAATTATTGTACCGATTTCTTTCTCGAACGTGGAAGCATCCGCTGTTGCCGTGGCAACGCACGTTACAAAATGGCTTAGACAACTGAAAAAAATATTCCGCCTTTAAATCTCTAAGAGCTTTTTCTCTCTATCTTTTTTCTTTAAGAAACGTTTAGCACCCGAACTGTTGGAATATCAAATCTACTTTTGCGTGACTTCATTAATTTTGCTGCTGATTATTTCTATAATATAGCGTAAGAGCTGTTTAAAATATTTGAACCCAAGTACAGCATTTACAGCTAGCGTATCGTCTAGTTTATCTGGTACAATTTTAGAGAAACGTGACCTCCGGCAAAACCTACGAGAAGGATAATCTAAATGCACGACATCCCTATCACTGCAATAAAGAGTAATTATCTCCTGACAAATTATTCCCAAATCCCAATTATCCTACGCAAACAGTGACGTCACTTAACGAGCGGCGCATTGTATTACCATGAGTTCCTCATGACAGATGACGGCGTTGTCCTGTAACTCACTGCCGGCCATTTTATTTATACTAAAACAAAAAGTAGGAAATGTTCCCCATAGAGCAGCGATCAGAATCCCCTGCCACCGCTAACCATCCCGAGTACAATCCCCTAACTTCTTAGCAGATAGCTCGGGATCGGTGCTGTCTCAGCAATCAGATCCAGCAAGCGGAAATTTATCCACCCACGTATGATGCCTTAAATATCCTATCTTTTCAATATCACATACCGGCCACCGTCGTCATCCCCAAACATACGCAAGCAGTCTCATTATTTCTTCATAAAGGCCAGCACATCATTTCCAGATTGTTATATATAAACGGCCCGACACAATATAAATAACGCCACATCGGCTATTTGATAGGGACCTGACCAAATTGCAGGACTAATCGCTTTTTCTAATAATACAACGCGGGCTCAGCGCTGCCGGCTACGCCGAAAGTCGGGACTCCGGTATATATCCGTTTGTGTAAAGGGCAATGTGACCTCAATCTGTTACCAGCGGTGTGTTGTTTCAGTAATCAGCGCTGGGCTGTGTAATTGTGCGTGTACTCTGTATATAAGGCATCGGTGTGTGAAGAATGGAGATCTGTCGCTTGACTCACGTGAACCTCTTGAATCGACCAGCGAGCCTGCGGCAGTTTGGTGCTTTTTGACGGGTCGGAGTCGTTTCAGTGTCTACGGACTGGATGCTTTCTTTATTGGAGCGCGATTTAACTCGGGAAGATATTGATTTAACCGTTATTTAATTGCCCGTTGATGATGGATGAAGAGATGGATAATTCCAGCATCTGGGAGTTTCTCAACAGCACCGATGGACTGAACGGCGCTCAGTCGCATCCTACCATTTACCCGCCAAAATGGCTAATCATTACGGCGTATGTTATTGTCCATACTGCGTGCATTTTTGGTAAGTAAAACCAATTTTTTTATCATGAGATTATAAAAGATAGTCAACTAAAAAATCTTCCTTGAGTAATTGTCCTTAAAGTATAACTGATAAGAACGTGCGCTTATATATGTAAACAGCATATGTAAAAATAAAGCTGTTATTTACCGCTTTCTGTGAAATAAACCGGGATTTTCAATACTCATACATAATTTATGATTAACTTTAATCAATTACCAACTCGTACTTTTAAAAATCGTAAAACTTTATCGAATGGTTGCCTACTATATGCATATGACTACAGCTACAATGTCCTTTACGGTATTTGCAGTTTCGACCAACGATTTTGGGCCGTGCACGTGCTATCGGCAACATTTAATCGAATTTTTTTGTCTGTTAGGATATGATATTAAAAAAATTTCCAGCAGTTTGTGCAAGCACGTATCTTTCATTATTTAGTAATATTTACTACTCGTACGGCTAGATGCCGCGCCTCTAAATTTAGAAAAATCTTCACTCTAGGAAAAAGCTAGAATGATTTCTTTCGTACTGTACCTTAAAGCTGAAAGGCAGTTCTTTCGGTGATGGTTAACATCACTACTAAACAAAAAACTTATGGCTAAACAAGATAAATCACTACATATTACAATACTGTACGGACATTTTCCGGGAATTTACAGAGTACATATATTTACAGAGTACTAATTCACAGAAAATGTTTTCAAGTTTACTACGGTAGTAATTTACCTTTCTGCCAAAAAAGAGAATTTTCTGAATTTAGACCCGCCGAATGTCTATGAAAGATGTACATACTTAGTTTACGGAACGATTATAATTTCTCACTATGGCCGCAGATATAGCGTTCTCCGAAATCCATAACGAACCTGATACAAATTAATCTATTTTGTACCGATTTTTTAGAAATTTATTGCGTGCCACATTAGATCACGTTTCTGTCACATTTATCTTTATGCTTTTACTATTCATTTATTTATATGTACTCGTACAATGCACATATATAGGCGCGCCTTGCTAAGTAATAACATACGTAAATCATTTATTACGTTCAGGCAACGCCTTGGTATTGGCCGTTGTATCCACCCATCCCAAGATGCGCGGCATCACCAATTTCCTGCTAGCCCAACTGGCCATCGCCGATCTCTCCGTGGCGCTCTTCTGCACCGGTCAACACTATATCCTCCTTATCGGCCTAGAAGACTGGATATTCGGATTCGGTCCCGTCGGGCAGGGATTATGCAAAGCGTACGGATTCGTTCGCAACGTGGCGTACATGTCATCCATTAATGTTCTGATGGTGAGTGTCCGTGCATGGTGTCAACAATAAAATAATGTCGCGTCGGTGATAGATGCCAGCTTTTGTAGTTCAGCTAGTTTCGCGCATTTGAAATATCATGCTTTAGCCACGTGAATACTAAATGCCGCATCCTGATTTTAATAGTAGTGTAATATTAACGATCTAACAACATAGTACGAGTATATCAAAGACATATTAATTATTTATTCCTGTACGTGGGAATGATAGGATGGCGTTCTAAATAAGAAATAACTTGTTGAACCCAGTGCACCCGCTACTGTTTACTAGGGAATTCCGGTCTATATTTAGACTTTAGCACAGAATATTCATGTGGTTTGTCGCCGTGTAAACGTCAGCTGTACAATTAATCTTTCATACTTCCAGCAGTTTTAATTGTTTTGTTTTCACGAGACGCGATCGCGTGAAATGGTTTACGCTGCATATCACGGCTAGAAGAAGCGTCATCAGGATGTTTTATTGTTGAACTTTTTTCCATTTGCTTTTGCTTCGTTACGCATTCCAGCTTTATTACTGGAAATGGTGACCGGGTACATGCACTGATGCTATGCTATAGTACAAGTGCAACTAGAAATCCATTAAGCTTCGTTTTACCGGATACGAATTACTCTGTTTGAGCCCAGAGCTACGGATTTATGCACACTGGACTCCGGCTAATTTGTTGATTTCAATAAGTAAAAATTTTGAACCGTAGACCGACTGACCGAATTCCACTTTTTAGTCGTACATTGTTATACGGTAACTACTGTAACTGGTGTTTCTTTGCAGTTGATCGCCCTGGAGCGCTTTTTGGCCATCGTCCACCCGTTCAGCAGTCGCACCTTCCTCATGTCACGGACCTCTTTAAAAATCATGGTCATCCTCGGCTGGCTGATCAGCTGTATCGTCAGCCTACCCAACATTCTCGGCTACGAAGCTTTCCCTAACTTTTACGTAGAATACATCAACGGCGTCCCGGTAATCATCAACCAGACCATATGCTCGCGCAACTACAACACCACTTCCCTCTTCTTCACCTACATTAACTGGACCACGTACGACTTCATCACCTTCGCCCTGTGGTACGCCGTCCCAGCGACCCTGATGACGGTCTGCTACGTCGCCATCAGCCGGCGCCTGTGGAGCTCCAGCAAACCCGATCTAGGCGTCAACGACTCGTTCCGCCATACGGTGTCCCTACGCAGCTATACCTCTGTCTCCTCGCATCCCTCCTCGCCCGTCCGCACACCGGAACGCGAAGCGATCAACGGAGGGTTCGCCGCGGCGGCCGCGGTCCCGGTGGTGGAGGATGTGGAGGAGGAGGACCGGCGCCGGCAGAGCTGTGTCATCCACAGCCGGCGGAAGGTGGTGCGCATCCTGATGACGGTGGTGGCGGTGTTCGTGTTGTGCTGGCTGCCGTTGCATGTCCGCAAGGCGGTTTTCTATTTCCACGGGTATGAGGACTGGATTGGGGATGTGTTGATGCCGGTCAGTGACTGGTTGATTAATCTCAACAGTGCACTGAACCCACTGATCTATACGGTGTTCTCCCGGAAATTTCGCCGCTGCGCCTATGATATGCTGACCTGCCAGGCGATTAAACAGCGCTGGGTGCGCCGGCCCATGATATGATTACGCTCTTGCCTAGTTTACAATCAGTGCATTGTAAATGCATCCTCTGCTTACGGAACGATATCCGCTCTTTAATATTTTTTGCTGTTTCCTTACAATATTTTTGTATTTTCTATTCCTGAAGCATACTATAAATCTTTCAGATTACTCTGTATACGTGTCCTTATCTTTTTGCAGCGTGGCAGACCGTTTTTGTGATTTATGTTTGCATACATTGATATTCTAGTCTTAGATTCAAATATACCTTTTTTTGTTGGCATCAATTCTGTGAATATCGAGAATGAAATTTATTTGGATAAAAAACTGCGTCTTGTTAGTTTACGAGCCCCTCAGTTCCAAGAATCACAACATATATCAGCGTACATGATATAAATTTGCGAACGCATAAGGAAGACGAAGAGCTGAAAATTAAGCAAACAGGCTTTGTACAAAGTACGAGAAGGCATGCACTTTCAAATGTACGACCATAAACATTTTCGTTTAGCCAACAAACCGAGTACGTACTCGGTACTCGGTTTGCGTAGCGTAGTACAAGCTTTGTGCAGTGTAGTAGAAAGAACCGTTTTTCCCTATAGTTGCTGGATATAATTAAGCGCTCTCGCCATGAATGACTCCTATTTTGGTTATTCGTATATTTATTTATTATGGATCTCGAGCGAATTTCGCACGTAAGTTTTGACTTGAGCACCGCACGGTTCCACATCGCCTGTCAAAGCTGTCTTCATCGAAATTTCGGAGTACTGTGTATGATCGGAAGATAACCAGATCAATATTAACAGAAGGCTGTGTTTTTAGTCAGCTGTGGTACAACGAAAGTTTTATACATAACCACGCCACCCAAGTTTTTACAGAAGGCAATATGTTATTGACAGGCACCTCTCTCGCCTCAGAAAAGTGGAGACTTTTGCCGATCCTAGGTTGCGCTGAATAAGGTTATCCTATGACCTTTGCGCCTAAACTTTTGGTCAGCTAGCACTACTTGAGTGTTGAGTACTTGGTATTTTTACTTTTCCAAGGCGGAAGCCGATGGCAGTGTGCCGGTAGCGTGGCGCGGCTGCGGACCGGTAGCATGCAGAAATGTACCAGTCGTATTACGTAACGTCGCCCTGTGATGACGCTGATAAGTTAGACCCGGTGGACACCGGTTCCTTGCCGTTCAACCAAATCCGCTTGTTTTTGGCTTACACTGAACCCAACGGGAACCTGCGCGCCGGGACGGTACAGTACTACAAAACGGAGAGTCACTGCAGATACCAGTCTGTGAGAGGTTTTCCTTTAGAGAGCATTTTCTCGAACCACACGTCGGTGAGTCGGTGTTTTCTTAAATGTTTTTTCATATGACATGGAGATAACGGTTTTGTACTTATTTTTTGGTGACTTATTTCTCACGATGTACGTATCTGTATGTGATGCTTGTAGACTGTACAATAGGTTCTGGACAATCTCAAACCGTCTCCGGTGGGCATTGTTAAAAATTCTCAAATTAAGCAGAAAGAAACAAATTCAGTAGCCTTGATGATTATTGGACCTCTACCTTCATGCCAGCGGCTGTAACGAGATGAAACGATATTCTATAAAAACGAACAACATGATCTTATTATGCGTCTATAGACTATAAGGATACAACACTTTATAGAACACTCTGGTGTAATAAAATTTTCGCAATATTCATATCAGCGAGCACCACTCACTGGCACTCAGTAAATTAAACGAAGAATTTGTCCTAGTTAACAAGGGATGGGACTGTACACAAAACACTCATAGCGCTACCACGCATTATTTCCAAACTTAAACGTCGAAACAAAAAAACAAGAGAGGGACTCTCATAAACAGTTTCTTGCCAATCTCTTTTAACGAAACCACGGTGCCCTCACAAAACGTCCCAAATGTCTCGTAGGCAATGGGAACAAAATTACATATCTGGTGTACTTGTTGGCAATGACCTTGTCTGAAATGGCGGATAATACTCTCTACCATGTGTCAAATGCAGGTTTATTGTCCTTACAATGAACCGCCTATCTATAGATTCGTATACTCCTACGTTCTTTTTTTCGCGAAATTATCTCCTAATTCAAGGTTCACATTTCAGAACCGTTCATATTTTTAAAAAACCTAGCGTCCATAAAAGGTGGTCACCTGCACTTTGAAAAACATTTTTGGTCTTCCAGAACGTTTTAAAAACGTTTTTAGGTTTTCAGTGCTTTAGCCCTTAAGTTTTCAGAAATTTCTAGAAACATCTAGGATGAATCAAAACATACAGGTTTGCAAGTTAGCAACATAGACAATAATGCTGCTAACTATAATAACACGAATTAGTTTACGCCCCTCTATTGTTCAGTGCATATTTTTAAATATTTCTGGTCGGTCCACAGCTTTAAATTCCATGTTCTCAAATACTAAAGTATCTGAATACATATCACATTATCTTACTGTCTCAGTATCTAAATATTGAAATACATGTTTAAAAATACATTTTACCTCCAGTTTTTTGCGATTCAGAATTTCGAAATCAGGCGTTCAAAGTATTTAAATACCTGGATATCTTACTGATCAAAACCATTAAATGTATGTCTATTTCTAAATACCACAAATATTTCTAAACGTTTCTAAATGTTTCTAAATACCTCGAAATCCAGGCCGGCCCCGCGCACCTGGATTGGACGTCCAAAACCATGTTTACATACCTAAAACACAGCTGGTGGCGCGCTAGCGCCACCGATACTTGTATGTATGTATATGGACCACTACGCGTAGACTTTAGACAATATCAGACAGAAGATGCGGGTCTCGGCACAAAAAAAGATCAAGAAACGATAAGGTCACGCTAACACAAGGATGCCGAACGTAAAGTAAATAAGACTGATCTACTGTAAAAACCGTTAACGGATTGTGATATTAAGACATTAAGTTAATAGATTAATACATTTTATTGCATCGTGAGTACCTCCAGCGTTATGGTTTAAGTACCGCAAGCGTATTGCTTAGCTTGGGCTGCAAGACTTTCAATGCTGAATTTACTCAGAAGTCACAGTAATGTTTAAAACATAAGGCTGTTAATTTTGTTTTAGTAATAAGTGGGTGTCATGATAAGGAAGTAGATGATAATCTGCCGTGATGGCGGGCTTATTGAAGTTGCACCGGTCGTCTTTAAGACGTAGTCTGGATGGTTCACAGGGCGATTCGACAACAATAGTACGCAACGGCTTAAACTTCACAAAAGCTTATTGTATTTTTAGTCTATACATTTTACGCAAGTGGCAGGGCGATTCGACAAACGGTGGAACACGGGCGTTTCAGCAAACCATTATTTTACTTTAAATGTTTCTCCCTCGTTACACTGTTACAGTTAAGTTATGAGTTACTCGATCAGCCTTCCTCATAACAACTGCAAAAACTATATAACAACTGAGAAATAATATGACTTCATAAAAACGGTTGAAAATATTGCCGTCCTTCAGCTGGAAAGTGGCAAGAAAGATGTTTGTTGTGACATCCAAGTACGTTTGCCTGCGACCATTAAGCGTAGAAATATCGATACCGTGCCGGTGCTGTTGTATTAACCCTTCGTATAGGTAACTGTTGCTCATCCTTGAGTTAACTTTGCGGGTGTGATAATAACCTCGATAAATAATCGCCATCTAATTACGCTTAGTTGTTGTAAATATAAGATCTTCGTCCATTTTGAAGACTTCTTATTACACGCAAATAAGATAAATGAAATGATGACAAATGATGTTAAGGTTGTTAACTATTTGTTAAAAATAAGGTTTGCTGAATCGCCCCAATGGGTTGTCGAATCGCCCGACGAAAAACAATGGACACGGAACCAGAGTTGCGCACCCGGATCCACTGTTGGATCCGGGTTTCTCGAATCGCCCTACGTACCAGTCTGGATATCCCTTCCCGTAATGACGATATGTGGACAGGATTCAATGTAGACGTACGCCAGTACCACCAGTCTTCCAGACGATGGCGAAGAACGTTGTTGTATTCATTTAGCAAATTAGTTTGACATAACTCATGTTAAGAATCCAGCATATTGCCGGCGTGATGGTAGTATGATGGTGGATCTAGGAAGAATCCACGGGCAGAGACCAATACGGGATTGATCCTGCTGAGTGGGCAGCGTTGTATGCTGCGAGCCTGCCTGCTACGTAGATATACGAAACACTCGACAAACAACTGCACACTTTATCGACCCACAATACAGTACACTACAGAAGCTCCCGCAGCAAAATGCTGCGGGGCCAAAAGGACAGCAAATCACTCAGACGACGATCGCTAGCAACTGCAGAATCTACCAGATCGAAGATCTGGTAGATGGAGAAATCACTAGCAAAAAACAGCAAAATAACTTAATAGCTACCTGACTGCGGGTTTACGGGGAGGCCGCTCCTCCTCACAGTAGGATGACGTGAGCTTATGTACTGTAATCGCCTGATCGGCGACGGACGTTTCGGTTTGGCTTTCGGGTAGCGATAGATTGCCGATAGAATTCCTGTTTATTCCTGAAACCGGTGACTTGCACTGGAGGAAGTGAACGATCACAACACTTGCAACGACAGTCGGTTTAAATGCATGTGGTTCTAGTACGTGAGTAACGGGTGGTTAACCTACTGTACTCGTACAGATACTTCATAATTAATTAGTCTGTCCGCTATTACCGCCTGTTTGTGGGAGAAAGGCTGGCATGATCTGCAGCGATGCTAACCAGAAACTGACCAACATTTACGGCGCCCTTGTCATAACCGTTAACGCATCCCTAGAAAATTAAGAATTGCAGATTAATCTAGAGTTAGATGTTGATCGTAGATGAGGAACACGTTTCTTTCAAAAGAAAGAGTTTACTGTCCAAGAAAGAACCCATAGAAATTGCGCAATGGAATGACGCGATCATTTCCATCCATGACGCTGAAATCACCGTAAGCGGCTGCCTGATACAGTAAATCAAGCAGACAGCATGGCACAACATAACGCAAGGTCATCTCGACGGTTCATGGATTACGGTATTAGCGGTTACACACAGCGAGCAAATTAAGGTGGGCTAGGGGCAAGAGCAGAAAATAAGACAACAGGACTCAGTTCAAGACGGAAAAAAGACTAACTCTGAAAAAATTTTTACCGTGAAACGCTTTCGATAATAGTGTAGAGAAG